AGAGACAAGTATGATCACAAACACATTAACTTATAGCCAATATAAATTTAGTTAACATTTTTTAATCGTTCTATTTATATCTATTTTATCATATACAAAATATGATATCAACACAACTTTTTTTCAGGTGTTATACGCGTCGTTATAGAAGTTCGTCAAAAAAGAATTATCCAAACCCAGTTTGGCACACAAGCCTGTCTTCAAGATGTTGTGCTGATAGATAAGTCTTTCCAAACGATCATATTAACAATGTGGGACACTTTTGTTGAAAATGAGTGCGTTACTATAATAGATAACATTGGAAGCAAACCAATCATTTGGGTGACCAATTTAAAAGTTTCTTCGTATAACGGTAAACAGAATAAAAAAAATATTTTTTTTACATTTATATTTTAAGTAAAATGAACACTAACTTTATGATTGAAATTTTTTATTTTTTTAGGACTTACGCTCTCTACAAAAGTGAACAGCACTTTTTTCATTAATCCTGCAATTGTAGCTGTCACAGACTACAAAGAATGGTTATTGAATAGAACTAACAAATTTCTTCTATTTTTCTAACTTTATAAATATCGGTAGTAAATCTCACACTTCATTGTTTGCTTTATTTATGCAGGATTGAAACAAACAAAGAAAAGCTTGACAAATTAATCCAAGATGAGCCATCTATTGCAGTGACGCCACCCAAAATTTCACCTCCAGATGAAAATAAATTCACGCCAATTGCTGACTTATAGGGAGTCCATTTAGGAGTAATTTCAGAAACGTTTAATTAAATATATATATATATATATATATTATTAATGTTTTTTGACCAATACTAAAAAAATTTACGCTCTTTCTTATTACTATATATTTCTCATTTCGTATGCAGAAAAAATTTTATTGGGTCAAAGCGCAATGGAAAATTACTTCAATGAACCAAAAGTTTTGGTATATTGCATGTAACTATTGTAAGAAAACGTCAAGTGCAGACTTGGGACAAATTCATAAGTGTCGTTTCTGCAAATTTGAACATGCAAAAGCAATACCAAGGTAACATATACTCTAAACCTATATTTAACTATTTATTAAAAATAACACTTCATTTAACAAAACTTACTATGTAATTTAATTAACTTCTCTATATAGGGTAACTGCTTTCATACGTATTGAAGACAACTCTGGAGGCTTGGATGTAACCATAAAAGGAGAAATCGCAGAAACTTTATTGGAAGCAAATGCCGTCCAAATTATGAACCATTTTGAAAAGGTTAACTCCAAATACTACTAAATTTTTAATAATTATTTGCATTTACTTCATCATATTAAATGAGTATAATTTTAATATTTCAGGACGTTGATACACAACTAAAAGATCTCATAAGAACTAACAACGAAGAAGAACAACTTTTTTACCTAAAAGTAACACCAAGAAGCCAAAATCCACCTGAATACCGATATGAAATTATCTTCATATTCAACTCTTCAACAACAACTGACATTGATTCTTCAAGTACAATCATAGAATTGGATTCTTCTCTTGTAACAACTGATGATAGTTCAAACAAAACATCTACGAAAAGTAAAGAGAAGATGTGCATGACAGATAATCAAGATTCTACAAACGCCGACGAAGTGCTTGCACCAAATGCAAAGAGGGCTCTCTTTCAAACTCGAGACCAAAAAATCGAAACTCGTTCCAAGAAGAAAATGAAGATTGATAAACACGTTGAAGATGCTGATGTGCTTAGCTCTGGATAAAACCTCAACTCACGTTCGTTTTGTTTTGGGATAATAGACAATCTAACAGTAGACACTTCTGTGATTCTACAAACAACCTATAATCTATAAATCTCCAGTAGAATAATGAGTCTTAGATTCAGTTATATGATTTTGGTTTCTAAATAGAACAGGTTGCTTTAGATATTTTGGTATGTTTTTGTTGTTAAAAATGTAAATACTGTGAAATCACAGAATTGTACTCGACCCGTGGTTGACACTAATATATAAAACTTCTTTTGCTATCGATAAAGAATAGTTGTGTAAAATACATATATTTTACTTTATCTATTAGTTAAATATTATCTCCTCCTCAATTTCGCTTAATCGAATACGTAATCAAAACACAAGTTCAATATACTTGCATTTTCCATTTTCTAATTTTTTAAATTAATTTCTTTTTTTCTTTGTTCCAATAAAGTTTACCTAGCTTTTAAATAATCTTTTAAACAAACCGTTTCGTTTATATAGTTAATTGGTAATTAATTATATCGTTTATATAACTGTACTCTTTGTACAAACTCTCTCTTTTATTTAAACAAACTAAATAATTTAACAAAATAAAAAAAATATAAATTTATTCATTTTCTTTTAATTGCATGCTCGTAAAAAACTAAATTCGCCTCTGTTTTCTTTTAAAATATAAATATTTAATTCATCAAGAAAACACTATGTTACGATAAAGTATTTTCTTTTTTTATAAACTTAATAATTATAACATATGATAAAGGAAGAATTAATTTCATTGATCTAAATGATTTCACATAGAAAGAATTATATAACATGATAATTCCCAACAAGATACGTACTACCTTCAACAGTTTAACCACTTATATCCTATCATTTTACTATGAATAAAAAACAGCCTTTTTAAATACATATTTCAATTTATCTATTATTTAAACATAGTTTCCTCTTCAATTTTACATATCTTAAAACATAAGTTCAATATACTCACATTTTTCATTTTGTAATTATTCAACAAAGTCTACTTACCTCGCTTTTAAATAAACTTTTAAACAAATTTTTTAATTTATACCGTCAATTATTTCATTCAATAGATATTTTCATAAACTTACATCAACAATTACATATAATTTTACTTTTCATGCAAACTCTCTCTTCTACATATATAAATAAACGAAAAAAAATACGATTTTACAAAATCCAGAACAAACAGAAAATAATTCATAAGTAAAAAACACTAACAAAAAAAAAAATATTCTCTCTAATTAAAATAAAAAATGAGAAAAAAATAAATAGTAAATGAAACATTTGTACATTTCAACTACCCACATTGTAGTTAACAACATCTATCTACCCACATTCAAACTACTATCCAAACCTAGCTATCCACATTTACTAACCAACATTCAAAATACTACCTACCCACATTTAACTACCCATATTCAACTATTTAACCATTCTTTCACTACCATTTCACACGTCTCAAAAACATTTTCTTTCAATTTTCAAAGTTCTCAAAAGGAAACTAAGTTCAACCATCAGGAAGAAAGGTAATATTCTTTCCAATGAAAATAAATTTCGAATATATTTATCGTATAGAGAATATGTGGTTTATCAATTCTATTATATTAGGAAAATCATGCAAAATTATGTGTCACTTTTCTTTACTGCAAGTATTTAATCTGTATTATATACATGAATATTATAACATACCATGTCTGTCACTGCATAGTCAAACGAATGAACGCATGCAATCCATCACTTCCACCATGTCTTGGGATAAGAAAAAATGTAGAGGAATTCAAAGAATATTTTGGATACAAATTCATCAGCCAACAAATTCTTCAATAATATGAATATCAAAGCTAAAATGAAACCTAAAACTTATTCATGCAAATCTCAATCATTTTCATTTGGCCAAAAAATATTGAATCTATCACTAGCTGTTGAACAGCTCCTCTTACTGAACCTCAAGTTTGTTAATATCTCGAAAAACATTTACTGAATCTCAAGTTTGTTAATATCTCGAAGAACATGAAAAATTTGAATTTAGAAAGCACGACTCCTTCGGCAGAATCACTCCAAGCTGCTCGGAGTGACCACGCTCCGGACTGCGCAGAGATCGCTTCGGGCTACGCGGGGTGATCTTGGCGCCTCTATGCTCCGCGTTGCGCGGAGTGTCTCCAAAATGTTACAATAAAAAAAAATACATTATACCCAAAAATTTATTATTTATAAAATTAAAAACATTTTACAATAAATACAAATTATTATATAACCAGTCATCTTAAAATTTTTCGTAACCCTTTTAATTTCATTAAATAATTACATTCTTTTCCAAAATTCGACTCAAAAATACATTTTTTATATTTAGAATTTTAATATCAAATTTCCATATTCAAGAATAAAATTTTACTTTCATTAAATAATAATATTCATTTCCTAAATTCGACTCAAAAATACACTTTTTATATTTAGAATTTTAATATCAAATTTCCACATTCAAGAATAAAATAAAATGCGAGGGGTAAATATATTTTAACATTCCTTGTTAAATATTTATTTTTAATCTTTTAATTATAACATTTAATTTCTCGAATTTAGTACTTCAAAAAAATACAAATTTAACACATTTAATATAATTTCTTTTCTACGATCAACTACCACGTCTAATGTAAAAAATTTCAATTATCTATTAACATCAAAAAATGTTTCTTTTACTTAATTAATTTTTTAATTACTATAATTCTCAATTACATTATACCATAATTTTTTTTATTAAAAACCCTTTCACAAAAAAATACAAATTTAGTTTCTCGAATTTAGTACTTCAAAAAAATACAAATTTAACACATTTAATATAATTTCTTTTCTACGATCAACTACCACGTCTAATGTAAAAAATTTCAATTATCTATTAACATCAAAAAATGTTTCTTTTACTTAATTAATTTTTTAATTACTATAATTCTCAATTACATTATACCATTATTTTTTTAATTAAAAACCCTTTCACAAACATACATATCTTCATTTTTATTTATTTAAATTATACATATAAATTCACTTTATCTAAAGGTGAACATAATGAACTTAATCAAAATTTTCGTTTTTCTATGTTTTATACACATATAGTTATTAACTATCATTTGATTTATTTTAACTTTCGTATAATTTTTTCTTTAAATATATTGCATAAATATTAAAGTTAACAAATTTTATTTATTCAAACTACATATCAATCATAGTTCAAATTATGTTGTTTCGATTTATATATTGTACTATTATATTTCTAATATGAAACTATAAAAATATCATAAAGTTTCATACAATTGTAACCAATTATCCTTTCCATCACAATATATATATACAGTTTCACATCAAACACAAAACACAATGGTTCAAATAGTATAGATATAATACTAAATTTTTTTTTTCATGAAGTTGCAGTTTCTAAAATGTTATTCATCATCATGAACAAGATTATCCAGTTTTTAAAAAATTATGTTAAATTAGTATATGAATGAATTTGTTGACTACTAAACATTTTTTTTATTACTTTTTGCAGATGTCACTAGAATACATATTATCTCCAAATCAATGGTTCTCTGCTACAATTACTCAATTTGCAAATCATCAATATTTTAAAGATTTTGTAGAACTTATAAATGCAGATGATCAAGCCTCTTTATTGTGCAGTCTATTCCATGGATTCATTTGTGGAAATATGAATAAGAAGCAAAACGACAAATTTAGCAGCAAGTTAACACATGAGTTCATAATAAGACTTATAAACTGTGGTAAAAATAACGAAGTTTGGGTACAACTAGACGATCGTGTAGCTTGTTTTGGCCTACAAGAATTTTGTTTCATAACTGGATTGCCATGTCATGAACCTACTGTTGATCTAAATTTTAGTAATACTCGACTTAGAGATGAATACTTCGATGGTTCAAAACGAATAACTATGATAAGACTTTCTGAAGTATTTCATATATGTGAAGATCGAGAAGATAAATTTAAGTTGGGATTAGTTATGTTTGTTGAATGTGTTTTAAAACCAACTAGAAGACACATCGATTACAGAACTCTTGGAATGGTTGAACAGCTTGATGAATTTCTTACGTATCCATGGGGACGTAAGGCATATTTTGTTCTATTACATTCATTACAAGAATCACAGCTTGAAAGAATACGAAGAATGCAACAAAATAACCAAGCAGAATGTAAATATTCATTGCATGGTTATCCACTTGTATTCCAGGTATTTTTCTTACATTTATTCCCTATTCGATATAATTTAATCATGTAAAAACGTTATTATTCCTTTTTACTTATATTTCAGTATTGGATATACGAAGCTTTTCCTAAAATTGGACTACAATTTGGTCACCGTATCCGTACAAGTTTAAAATGTCCACAAATGCATAAATGGCAGCCTCAAATGGTATTAGCGGAAAATGTTATTAAAGAATTTTTAGCTATTGAAGAGGTATGTTCATTTCAGTATACAATTAAATATATGTTTTATTCTTTATAAATAAATTTTAGAGAATACGTCTGATATTTTATTACAATATTACAATTATAGATTACAGTAATTGCAACGTTAAATCCTACTGAAGCAGAATTGGAAATATTCTGGTATACAACTCTTTCACTGCCAATTGACAACCAACATTGTACACTAGACAACATTGTCAATGGTGAATTGGAAAATACAACAGAACAAATTCGAGCATATAACATACATCCACAAGAAACAACTGTACACAGTTCAAATAGAATTAAATCTACTTCTTCTGGTACTTCAGACTATGTAACTAAACAAGATATGGAACAGATGTTCAATGTACACAGACAAGATGTCTTTGGTTTCTACGACAGCTTGAAAACGCAGATGATTCAAGAAGCTCAGTATCTTACGATTCTTGAAAATCAACAAACTCTCTGTCAGACACTTCTTGACAATCAAAAACAATTTTTTGAAGTGCAGCAAAAAAATCAATAGGAATATTTTCAGGGCATACAATCTGACATGCATTCTTATGTGGATACCAGTTTCGGTTTAATGAAGTTTTACATTGATGAACAAAATCGAAATATGCAGAATCAGTTAACCAACTGGAAATCACATATGGAATCAATTGTAGCCTCTGTACAACATGATTTGCCCTCTCCAACAAATCAAGCTGAATTTGAAATGCCTTCAACATCTGAACATGCAGAAGACGTCGAAAGATCAACAAGAGAAAAAAAGGTAAGCAAAAAGAGACACAATCTCCATCACCAACGGCAACGAATACTTTAGAAGATTATAACATCGACAAATACAAAAACATTAGAGAATGGATATCAGAAAATCCATCAGAGTAAGATATTAAATTTAACTTCGTTAACTTAAATATTCTATTTCGTATTTTACTTATTTAATAACAACTTCATTTTTTCTTATATAGTGCATATTGGAAAGATGAAATCGGCAATCAATACGCAAGACATTCGCTGATAAATATAATAAATCAAATTAAAGATATAAATATTGTGGTAAGTCAATTTTAGCAATCTTAATTAATTTTACTTCGTTATTAATATAGCTAATTTAATTTTTTTTACTAGCATATTAATATAGAATTAAAGCGTTGCGAAGACTCATTCATGATACATCTTCCCCGGTTTCCAAAGAATATGCAATCATGGACTTTCGATTCGAGAATGAATGTGTTCATTGGTACACAACGATCAAACAAGGAGCAATCGTTTCTGTGAATAATTTCCAGGCATTAGAGCAATACACAAAAGGAGAATCACCTACATTTGCTCGACCCTGGATAACATACAACTATTTATTGATTACAGTCGCATATCCAGGCAACAGTTGGTTTATTTTTCTTGTTAATTTTGAAAAGTGAAAATTTCAAGTATATGATTGCAGCCACAACATTCATACGCCAAATACAATCAAGTTACGTGCAGCCCCAGTTTTGGATGTAGAACAATCATTATTAATAGCTACTGACATTTTCTTCGGGAAGCCAAATTTACAAAACCATAGAAATAAACGTATGAAATTGGAAATCATACCGTATCTACCTTGTCAAAATAATGGGTAAGTATCTCAACAATTTACTTTAATATTTATTTTTCTATTCAATTTTATTTTACATTTATAGCATTACTATAAAATAACTTCAAACTATTTTTTCTGTAGGCCAAACTCTGGAGTTCTTCTTCTCAAATACATTGAATGCTTCATTTTCGGAAATCCATTAGAAGCAGTTTCAACTGAGAAAATACGTTTATACAGACGAAAAATTATCACAAATATCTGTCAAAATGAATATTTTTTCCGTCCATATTTATCATAACCATAACAAAGAAGGTAACTTTTTTTTTTTTTATAATGTCCCCATCATGTAAAGCAAAAGTTATAATAAGGTAAAAGTATTACCAAAATAAATGTCTATATTCATTAATTAATTCAATCTCAAATTTTTCTACATATACTTTAGTCTTGTTTCTTTCTACTTCTGCTAATAGCTTTTCTCTTGCTTTAATAGGTATGCCCTATCATGATTGATGTTGAAACCAAGAAGAAAAAGCTTTTCATCACCCATCATGTAAGTATCATGTATTCAAATATCAAGTATATCAAAGAATTGCCGTTTTAACAATTTCTTATCAATGTTTCATTTTCTTCCTTTTGTAATAACGCTATTAACTTTTGAAAGTGATCATTATAATCTTATTTTTATTTCAATTTTCTTTCTCTACAAGCTTAATTCAACTTTTGAAAGTGATCTTTATAATCCCATTTGTATTTCAATTTTCTTTCTATACAAGTTTAATTCAATGTGTTTTAAATACAATCATTATGCAAATAATTTATATATTCGTTAAATGTATTATCATTATTCAATAAAACGACTGAAAAAATTGATCATATGAATTTTTATAGAATTTTTATCAACCCTCATAGTAATTTCTTTAGCAGTCTATATGTTTATAAGATTAAGTTAAATAATCTATAATAGTATAATTTATTTATTAACTACTGCAAATGAAATCGTAGAGAAATACTTCTTACCAACTCATTTAGGACAAATAAAAGCAAATCCATATTTATACTTCTCATTTTATACCTTAAATATAACTTTCTAATATATTTATGAACAGATATGCTGCTGCACTTATTTTTGCTACTCATTGGGAAATGTCATAAACTTTGAGAATAATTACAGCACAAACGTTTCACATAATTTGCAGAAAATAATAATAACCAAGTTTTCATATACACTTAAAAAACCTATTTCACGCACAAAACAAAATTATTACTGCGAATTTGCCTATTGAAAAGTAAAACTACTATTTTCCATCTAAACAGCTCAAAAAAAATTTACGTATGAAATTTGAAATCATACCGTATCTACCTTGTCAAAATAATGGGTAAGTATCTCAACAATTTACTTTAATATTTATTTTTCTATTCAATTTTATTTTACATTTATAGCATTACTATAAAATAACTTCAAACTATTTTTTCTGTAGGCCAAACTCTGGAGTTCTTCTTCTCAAATACATTGAATGCTTCATTTTCGGAAATCCATTAGAAGCAGTTTCAACTGAGAAAATACGTTTATACAGACGAAAAATTATCACAAATATCTGTCAAAATGAATATTTTTTCCGTCCATATTTATCATAACCATAACAAAGAAGGTAACTTTTTTTTTTTTTATAATGTCCCCATCATGTAAAGCAAAAGTTATAATAAGGTAAAAGTATTACCAAAATAAATGTCTATATTCATTAATTAATTCAATCTTAATTTTTTCTACATATACTTTAATCTTGTTTCTTTCTACTTCTGCTAATAGCTTTTCTCTTGCTTTAATAGGTATGCCCTATCATGATTGATGTTGAAACCAAGAAGAAAAAGCTTTTCATCACCCATCATGTAAGTATCATATATTCAAATATCAAGTATATCAAAGAATTGCCGTTTTAACAATTTTTTATCAATGTTTCATTTTCTTCCTTTTGTAATAACGCTATTAACTTTTGAAAGTGATCATTATAATCTCATTTGTATTTCAATTTTCTTTCTCTACAAGCTTAATTCAACTTTTGAAAGTGATCATTATAATCCCATTTGTATTTCAATTTTCTTTCTATACAAGTTTAATTCAACGTGTTTTAAATACAATCATTATGCAAATAATTTATATATTCGTTAAATGTATTATCATTATTCAATAAAACGATTGAAAAAATTGATCATATGAATTTTTATAGAATTTTTATCAACCCTCATAGTAATTTCTTTAGCAGTCTATATGTTTATAAGATTAAGTTAAATAATCTATAATAGTATAATTTATTTATTAACTACTGCAAATGAAATCGTAGAGAAATACTTCTTACCAACTCATTTAGGACAAATAAAAGCAAATCCATATTTATACTTCTCATTTTATACCTTAAATATAACTTTCTAATATATTTATGAACAGATATGCTGCTGCACTTATTTTTGCTACTCATTGGGAAATGTCATAAACTTTGAGAATAATTACAGCACAAACGTTTCACATAATTTGCAGAAAATAATAATAACCAAGTTTTCATATACACTTAAAAAACCTATTTCACGCACAAAACAAAATTATTACTGCGAATTTGCCTATTGAAAAGTAAAACTACTATTTTCCATCTAAACAGCTCAAAAAAAATTTTACATGAAAATCTTTATTAGAACATAGTAAATGAAACAAGCTAAAAATAGTGAATTACAATAAAAATTCAATACTAATATAAATCACCACACTAATATCACCTTAAACAAAATTCAAGCCATGCATTGCATGGCCAGGAACTAGTATTTAAAAAAGAAGAAGGATAAACTAGAATTTTGTTTATTTATGCTACCTAATATTATTCAGTATTGTGTAGTGCTTACTATACACGTGGACTGCTCTCACATTGAATACAGAACACCCACAAGGTACATATGAATGAATAGAACCGTCCATTCATGAATGCAAAGTCACCCCAAGTAGGTCTCTGATTCAATGAACAGCAAATGCCATGGGAAACATGACAGTTAATGTGTGCCCTTTTCACAGGAGGTAGTTGGCTAACATTTACTTTTGATCAAAAGAGCCCTTTCTATTACACAATATGATAGATAAAAACGTGTTAGACTTACCAACTTAGTTCAAATGTACACGTATTTGCATTTTATTGTTTGACTAATCAAGATCAATATTAAAATATCTTGAATAGACCACACTTGTCGTCGTAGATCCATCACTCATTAACCAAGTGTACTTGTAACAATGATGTCTATCTACCGAAGAAGCATGCTTCAAACAGGTGTGCACTTGCTTTGGGTGGTGAATTTTTTAACTTGATTTTGAATAGGTAGACTGCATTAGTGCTATGAGCTATAATTTTTTAACAAAACGATAGCAATACTTCACATAAGTTGATATCAGAGCTACAGGTCTCATGTTCAAGTAGATGCTAGAATAGGTGTATAATGCAATAACATGCTTCAAATGGAAATAAGCTCGACAGATGAGGATTTCCAAGCTTAATTCTTAGTATTATAAGTTGAATTGTATTAGCAACATGAGCTATAATTTTTGAGCAAAGTTGATGCAACCCTACATCACTACCTATAACAAAATGCCTTAAAAGCACACACTTTGACATATTATTTACTTGCTTTATATGGTAAACAATTTTTATTATCATTATTGCATTGACAAAGTTTTTCAACATACAGTAACTTGAAGTAGACATTGCAACTAGTCTAAACACAAAAAGAAGATACTTTACTTCTTCTAATTCTTTTAATCTTCAATCCTTGAAAAATCCTTTCTATATACATAAATGTTTGGGCACGTCTTAACTTAATGAAGAAACCAGGAATTGCCTTGTCTACTATACTTACCTGGAGCCCAGTTTAGTAAAAGAAACTTTCATTTGGTAACTTGCAGTCGACATGTTATACAACCATCATCACTTGCATTTGTAGAATCTGAGCTTTGAAATCCATCTTCAATGCAGTACGAACCATTAGGGAATTGTTTGACTATTTGATGGGAAGCCTCGTCTGCAGGATCATTCTTTTCATAGCTCATAAATGCTCCCAAAGCCCCAAGAAATCCTTCGTGCCGCAAAAACATAGCTTTAGCTTCACCTTTTGACCTGGAAATATGCAATGGATTACTTGAAATGGAACAATGCCAAAAGGATATGAATAGTAGATTGAAGACTCAATTTGCAGTCACTAGCAAGTCTAGCATGAAGTCTATAGGTCCATTCTCCTGCTGCAAAAATGATTCGGACATTCAAGAGAAGACATTGGTTTTACAGTTCCACAAAAAGTTTCATTCATATCTCTGTCACACTTAAGCTACAATGTCAACAAAAGCAAAATGAAACAACCGAATTTTGCCACTTTATGTTCAATGTGCCTTTTTTATTAAAGATTAAAAAGAAAAAGAAAAATGAAAATGAGTATAGCACCTTAGTCCACAAGTAAACAGTAATGAGCAACTCACGTAAAGCACAACACAGAGTGCATGGTTAAGTGATAATGTGGGATATCACAGCAGCAAATTGATTAGCTTTCAATTTGTGCAGAAGTAAGTCGATTTCAAAGGACTAAATCATTCTTTAAAATAGCACTAGCCCACCCCCACCCCCACCCCCACCCAAAAAATAAATAAATTAATTAAAACATAGCAAATATATCACGATATAACTGGAATACCATTTTCAGATGCCACATGCCACTGTATACTGACTCTAACTAGAATAGAAGTAAGGACAAAATCAATGCTTTTGTTCCAAAGGGGTTATATAGAGTCATTACCAGAAATTAACTGCAACAGAAATCGTGTCCATTGTGTAAGCATGGCCACGAATGAAAAATCCTCCAAAAAATATCCGCTTGAGTCCAAAGCGTAGCGCATTCAAGTATGCTATCTGGAAATAAAAAAAAAAAAAAAAAAAAAAAAAAAAAATAGGGGGGAAAAAAAAAAAAAAAAAAAAAAAAAAAAAAACATTGGAGTGGACAAAGGAAAGAGTATGTAATAGTCACTTTATAATTATTCAAGTTATGCATTTTGGAAAATTTTAACATTACACTTACAAATATCGTAAACCTACAAATTAAAATCACAATAAGAAACAAGAATCGTCTAATTGCAGTCTGTTGGAAAATTTTGAAAATAAAGGAGAGGAGATAAGAATGAGATGAAATGCCATATTATAAGTACTATTTACTGATTCACATAGGAAAAGGAAGGTTAGAAAACCATCTTTTAAGTATATATGCTTTTTGGACGTTTGCCATGTAAAACTAAAATGCATAAAGGCCCAATTGAGTGACATGCTAGGAAGGTGTAAAGAACCAGTGGAGCCCAAGCCACCACATGCATGTGCACGGTGTATGCTGTAGGGAACTACTAGCAGATTGATGGTTCAAAACACCTTAGCATTTGTCACCGTTATATTGCTTTTTGATCACTGTCAATTTTTGTATTAGATCATCATGACTGAGATAGGATTGTCTAGATTTATCTCATTAACCATCTTATATAAAATTAGATTATTAACATTAATGCTTAAAGTGACTGTAAATTCGGTTAAAATTTAAATTGACAGCTAGTGATAATAGGTATAAAAATTTTGAACCTGTAGATTGTCCGGCCAAATGATCAAATGTTAACATTTTAATTAGAGAAGGGATGTTTCTTTTGTGAAAACATACTGAAAAACTGAACTCCAATTTCTTCACCAGTCAGACTTTCTCCTTCATCTCTTACTATCTTCTTCCAATTGAAAACTAGTCACTCTCTTTTTTCACAGAAAAATAGTCACTTTCAAAATATATTTTTGTTCATATCTTTGAAATTGATATTAGAAAACAGAAAAGCTCTTTTACAGTCTAAGGCATAAAATGAGGAAGGAAAAGGAAAGCAATTAGCCAAAAAATTTAGGGACTTATGTTCCACACCTTGCAAGGTTACCTCAAATATTGGCAAAAAAAAGTAATTGATACTCCTAGAATATACAATATTGCATTCAAGGATTCGTTTTTCCCATAACTTACCTGTCCAATGTTATTTGAAATCATTCTTAACAGGGACCTGGCTATGTCTTCAGGTCTATAATCTTCAAGCTCTTGTTCTTTGGATATTGCCTTGCCAAAACTAGAAGCAATAGCTGTCGATGCTAGGCCAATCTGACATGATTATCAGAGAAAAAATTAATGATTAATTAGCAATTTAGCATAACAATACAGGCATGAGTAAGTTCAAGTCATCCTAAAACTCGCACGCAGACAATCAGCCTAAATTTCACAGGCAGAGACACTTATCATAATGATTCAACTCTCGTCTTCGATAAAAAAAGATTACACACTCTTGCATCACATCTACATTGATTATCAATACTTCATACCTTCTGTAATTGCTTATGGGTTAAAATAAAGAAAGTACATCTTTGTAACATAGGGTTGTCTTTAGTAAAAATTATCTCTAGTAATTATTGAAACCTCATATGCAGCACGTGTGTGTATGTATTAGTGCAACTCACAGGCCCCAACATTCTGTTCTTCATATTTATGCAGAAGACAAACACCAGACATCATACACAAGTTGCTGATAGAACTTGAGTCAATTTCTACATCCATTTGAAGGTAAAACAAATAGCAATTACAAAACTCGTATAGTTTCGATCCATGTAATGAAAAAACTTAATTGACCTCATTATTTGATTCCCATATCCTTGTGTACTTAAAATAAAGGATAAAAACCAAAAGAGGAAAGGGCAAAACACATCAAGAGCATATACCTTCGAATAGTCCATTCCACCATATATGTCCCCCACTAGCATGTCTATCTCACGATTGTTTCCCTGGTGACTCAACTCTAACAAGTCATCAAAACTGAAAAGAGAGAAGAAAATCAAAGTTATAGTTCTTGTAAATTAAGGCAATTGCTAGGCAAAATAATATCACATTAGGAAATATGGGAAGCCTTGAAGATTGTATTGAAATGAAAGGTCTAAGATCAAAACCTTCTACACTTCGTCAAAAGTTTTCCCAAGCCCAAAAATGTACCGCCACCCACACTTGTTCCACTGACTCGCTCAAACTTGCTATCACTATCTACCTAAGCAATGAAACAAATAGAAAATAGAAGAAAATTTATAAACTAAAATTTCTGAATCAAATGTTGCAATAATACATTATTCACAATAAAAAATTGTAAATACGCCCATTTCATATTGAAGCTCCCAGATGGATAGTAAGGTCTGTGATTGAAGATATCTATCTCAGCTCTTGTTTATAGACTACTCCACTCTGACTTAGGTCCAGGCACAAGTGGTGTATCATTAGTGCCTGAGAATGTTACTAAACAAGAACAAACTATAAGCCCTATTCCCGATAAATTCGGTCTGCATGAATAATTTATCACTATGTTTTAGTTTGTTGCTAGATCTAGTGAAAGATCCAAATCAATTGGATTCTTCAGTATCAATGCCTGAAAATGTTACACGATAAATGATTATTGAAGCTACATTTCTCTTTAAAAATTGGTACTTTGACACGAATTAAGGTCATATTACCTATTAATAAGTTCCATAGACATCAATGCTCTGAAGATTAGTAGGTTTTGAATCTCACCTGATTTAATTATGTCAGTGCAAAACAAATGACTCAGGCACTATAATCTTTGTTGGACCAAGTCTGGGGAAAGGATGATGCAAGAAGATTAACATTCACTTTTATTGAAACCACTTGATCTAAAAGCTTAAACAATTAAATAATACCACATGTATATTATTTAAATCTTATCTTCAAAATGCCCCCTCACATATAGGCAGGATTCAATTTTCCCATCAAAGACTTGTTTGTGCACATTGTTTAATAAATAAGTGGAGGCAAGAATTGAATCGAGACCTTTACCTAATTTGATACCATGTTAAACCATTTTATCTAAAAGCTTAACTGTTGGATAAGGCGACATATATATCATTTAAATCTTATCTTGAATAATTTCAATAAAATTAATTTCTACAAGACAAAGATATGTTGAAAGCATTACCTTGATCATGCTGACCCCAGATCCAATATTGACAAGGAGATAAGGATACAAATCTTTCTGGTCAATCTGAACATACTCCTTTTCACCATTCATATATGTGAAAGCTTCATCATGCACCGCCTATCCAATATGCAGTTAATTTCCTAATAAGCATTATATTGACATACAGATAGAGCAAAAAGGAAAAGGAGGAGGGGGAGGAGGAGAACAAAAGAAACAACCATGAAAACAAAGAATCACAAGCTTCCTAATATAGAAATGCACAGTATTAACAAAGACTTCATGCAGTGTTATGCTAGAAGCAAACCTTTGTTAGGGATTAATGAATAATCAGTATCACCAAAAGCAATTAATACCATGAAAATAAGGAAACGAAAACAAAAATGACACGTTATATAACGTTCTTCACCTTCAATGTGCAATCTAAAGCACCAGGTGTGGCTATCAAATTTCACTATGTCGAAGAAGAAAATTATCATGTATTTTGGACACATCTTTCTCTATTTTCTTCCTACCATGACACACAGAATGGATGCTCGCCCTAATAACCTTTATATATGAAGAAGATATTAGACGTCCAAATACATGAGTGAATTTTCCAATGCACCCTATTACTTAATAAAAATTCGCATTCGGGGATCCCGCACCCAGAAACCCATCTAGCTTACCGTAAGATCAAACCACGGCCGAGGAAATGTACAGTATATTAGGCTTCACATATCCAACAACATCAACACGTGGGTAAAGAAGTTGTTGAGAAAAAAAATTCTCCCATATAAATTAGCTTAAAAATTAGCCTGAACTTTAAGTCATTTACTAAAACTAGAGTAAACAATAAAATATTGTAGCCTCCGTGGTTGTACAATTCCCCAAAAAAGGATAGATGCACCAACAAATGTTCGTGATGAGTTTTGACCCATACAATACATACAACATTTTAAACTAAAGGTCTTCATAGATCAGAATTCAAAAAATATAGTAATTGCCGAAGTAGCACTGATACTTAGACGTTATCAAAAGCAGCAAACCTCATGAAACTCTATATTCAACAAGGGCATTTTCCTCTTGACCAAAAAATCTTCGTTGTCATAAGGCACACAATGTGTCTTCAGAAGTCTAATATTTTTGCACCAATACAACATGGGAAAAGAAATTTAACTTCATTGCTGGAAGGAATGACCAACACAGAAGGCTAAAAAGAAATAAAGCATCAGATACAATGTTTTTCAGGTTTATCCAAAATGGGTGATAGAACAATGGAGGAAATGAGAAATACTTAAATAATGATAATGCTACACTTATGGTCTTGATGACATCTAAGAAGCACTAGAAGAATACCAAGCAATATCTTTAAGCTATAAAAACACCCACCTTGAGCAGAAAATTTGCTCCAGTAACAAGACAATCCATCTCGTCTTCCTTGTCGAGAATAATTCCTAGCTTTTCCTTAAGCAAATCTGCAAATTTAAATGCCCCACCACCTGTGGCCTTCATGGAAATATTGACTGTTAGATGTGTTTGTTTCCTTTGCCTAAAAAATTAATAACTCACAATAATGTTTCATTTCATGCATGGAGTGCACTAAAAGTGGCATCTTGGAAGAAACAATTATAGATTTTCTGTCACATAATCTATAACAATTAGACAAAAGAACTTTTTTTAATGCTTCCTTTGAAGAGTCTCCAGGCACTCTCAATGATGTTAAAATTTAATTAGTTCATTTCATTTCAGAGGCCAACCATCAAATTTCATACTATTCCTAAACAAGAAGAAAGGTAAGTGCAGTTTCTAGCAAAAGTGGCTATGACCACATTGGAAGCTTTGATCTGAAGTTAGATTTCAAAATTGCCCAATTAAAACTCTTTTGTGAAAGTTCAGAAACTTGAGTTCATGATAGAACTAACAAATAGAAAGTCGATTACCATGTGATGCTAGATATTCAATTTCTCATGCAGATTCTCGGAATGTATATGAGTAGAAAATATGTTTTCAGACAAAAATTTATCTGCATAATAAGAATCCAGGCATAAACGATAAGGCAACTGGAAAGTACGAATCAAGAACAAGGTTACCTTAATAATATTTGTATCATTGGCAGAAGCCTGATTGCACTGACTACCTGAAATCATAGGAGGGCTCTAAGAAGTCGAAGATGTGCAATGATAGAAAAACAAAGTTACCTCGACAAACATCATACTGCGTATTAGAAAAATTGGGTTTCTACTAAATATAAGCAATTGAGCATTTAAAGTAAGAACCATATTATACTATTTCATGCACTGGTTTTTGGTCTTATACGTTCATGTAACCAGATATCCAGAAATATGAAAGAAATTATACTTTTTCAAGATAAAATTCTTGATTAAGAAAGGTGCCAAGGCCTTTAAGACCAAATCATCATTGTTATCTGGATGAAGAGCCAAACAATAATGTGGCATAGAAAGGATGTGACCCGATCAGAACATCAAACAATATCTTTTCTAACACCAAAGTTCTTAGAAAAAAATTCTCATTCCAAGGCTTTCCATTTAGAACACTGTGATTCAACATCTGTAAGATATTTGCTTAAGCCTAAAAGCTTGTCAGCACTTGCCCTTTACTTCCCAAAGGCAAAAGGTATCAATATCTCAATGTATCCATTTAACTAATGTTCATATGACAATATGTTGTGCTTGAGACAATCAAGACTTTCATTCTTCAATGTACAGAACATGAGGCCAGCATTTTTACAGGACTGATACATGCAATAAAAGAGTCAAGAAAAAGCAAAAATAAAGGATTGTGTCCTTGTAATTGGTTCCACACGTTCATTCTTCTTCTGCTCCCTTTCCAATAAAAATAAGCCACAGTATTTATGTAGCTAACCTATTCAGAGCATTTTTGGCAAAGCTTAATTATAATTTAAGGTGATCAAAAATTACTTTTTTATCCACACATTTCATAGGACCCATAACTTAGCCTATGTTTAAACTAATAAGTAATTTGCAAGAAGTAGTGGATCCACGAAATGTGTGGATAATAAATGGGTAATAGCTATGAATGTGTGGTTGAAATTAATGTTTGGCTAGATATTATAAGTTCCTTATAGTTTACCCAAACATAGGCTTACTAAGCACTTATTATGCAAACATTCCATAAGACCTACAGCTTATAAGCACTTCAAAGTATTACCAAACAAGCACTCAGTATTTGCCAATAGCAAAGGAAGCATGTTCAAGAAACCATTTTAGAACTTTAATATCAGACTCCTCGAACATTACACCATTGTATGACCAACAAGGTCCACAAACCTTCGGTGACATACGCATACAATAAATCTGCTTCCTCCTCTACATCCCCTTTCTGACAACCCCCTCATTTAGAGAGAGAGAGAGAGACTTGTAAAGGAGATTTAGTGAATAACTGTGTTGCACGAGCACTTCAAATAGGATAGCGTGTACGTGTCTAACACGTGTTAGATACCAACGCTCCTCGGACACTCTATAATGGTCATTTTCTTTCTCTCTCAGAAATATTATATTTGTTCACTGAAAGTTATTATTAAATAATAAATATGTATTCATATTTAAAATATGGGTAATTAGCACAAAACGTCCCCACCTTTCGATATTTTTGTGGAAAACGTCTCTACCTTTCCTTTTTTGGCTGATTACAACCTCACCTTTACCTTTTTTTGCGCAAAACATTCTTCTGTCAACTCTCCGTTATAATGCTCCATTAAATCAAAAGGTAATTAGCACAAAAGGTCCCTATTTTTCAATATTATTATACAAAACGTCTCTATCTTTCATTTTTTGACATAATTAGCACAAAAGGTCCATACCTTTCAATGTTATTGTGTAAAATGTCCATACCTTTCATTTTTAGCATTTTCACCCCTACCTTTCATCTTTCATTGTGCAAAAGGTCATTTTCATCCATTTTTCAATAAAATGACAATTTTACCTTCCTATTCAAATAAAACAAAAAGAAAAGAAAAGAAAAATAAATAATTAATTACAACCATAGTCCTAAATCTTTCAAAATATTAGAGATAAATCTTAAATTCTCCACTACCCCCACTTTCACAATCCCACCAAGCCACCACCTATAGATCCATATAGCACCAGCTTTCGACCACAACACCTATCGGACTCCACCACCACCAGTCTCGCCTCACTCTCCCCAATACCCTCCTTTATAGTATCGGTCACCAATCTGTCCGAAACAACTACATTTACGGTGGTGGAGTTTGTTGGGCATGGTGGTCGAAAGGTGGTGTTTTGTTGATTTATAGTTGGCAGCTTGATAGGTTGTGAAAATGGTGGTGGTTGAGAATTTATGATTTTTTTGTAATTTTTTAAAAATTTAAGGACTATGGTTGTAGTTGGTAATTCATCTTGTTCTTTTTGTTTTATTTGAATAGGAGGATAAAATCGTCATTTTATTGAAAAAATGGATCAGAAGGGCCTTTTTCGCAATGAAAGGTGAAAGGTAGGGGTGAAAATGCTAAAAAATGAAAGGTAGGGACGTTTTGCACAATAACATTGAAAGGTAGGGACTTTTTGCGCTAATTATGCCAAAAAATGAAAGATATGAACGTTTTGCACAATAATATTGAAAGGTAGGGACCTTTTGTGCTAATTACTTTTTGATTTAACGGAGCATTTTAACGGGGAGTTGACAGAAGGGTGTTTTGCGCAAAAAAAGGAAAAAGTGAGGGTGTAATCCGTCAAAAAATGAAAGGTATGGACGTTTTCCACAAAAATATCGAAAGATAGAGACGTTTTGTTCTAATTACCCTTAAAATATTTTAACTAATAAAGTTAATAACAAGTATATAATTAAACTTATACTATATAAATGAAGGATTTTATAATTTTAATCAACATATCAACGACGTGTCATGTTCCTACTTTTTTGAAAAATTGCATGTCGACGCATCCGACATGACACTTGTTCATATCGGAGCATCATAGGTATTCAATCACCGTCAAAATATCAAGAATTTAATGAAAATGCTAAGAACATTTTTGAAGACATCGCTTTGCAAAAAAGACTTATTTTTATAACTAGTTAGATGCCACCTCACAGATTCACTTAAAAGCATCATAACCAAATAAACTGGCCAGTAAACTTTGCGAAAATATATAAACTCAGTTCAAATCTTGGTCAATAGGTATCAAACTATCCGAGTTTCAGTGAAACTAAATTATCTAGCACATAGCCCACTGCATCTAATGACCAAGAATCTTGCTATAGTTCATGTGGAAATTGGAATAAAAGATAATAGCTCAATTTGGTAAAAAATTATACTGTTGATGTTAAGGATGATCTCATATCAAAATGCATTCATTACAAAAAGAAGACATACCACAGAATCGAAACTGCTTGGTAGATAAAAATTTTATCCAATCGTCGATCATTCTTGTTTCAAACTTTTCAAAGTGAAGCCTCCCACTTAGGATACTATTGTTCAAGGTTCCATTGGAAGAGCAATCAACAGAGCTATCACTGTTTCTTGAGAAATACACCATCTTAATGAGAGAGCCTGCACAAAAGAAAAGCAGGGGAGGCTGATGGAAATGCCTTTTTAATCAAAATCAACATAACATTTGGTAAGTAAGCTGACAACTACCCAGTTATAAGGCTATGGACTTCCAGCAAAAAACACATAGCTTTGGGTGGAATACCCCCATCTCATAAACAGCTCCAATATTGCACCACAATCCGATGTAAAATAAATATATGCCAGTTTCTTGGCACCCTTCTCACGAGTTGCCCGCGCTTAAATGTGGTCCCAAAAAATAAAAAATCATTTTACCTATCTCACTTCAGTGTAACTATGGAAATAAAAAATCAAAAACTAGATTTTAATTGGCATCGTTCAATCACCTCTAGTACCTTCACATATGATACAGAAAAGCTTTTTATCATCCAACACATGTAAACACATTCTAGAGCAAAAATGTGCAAGATAAAAAGTAATAACTCAAAAAGAACCATCATTTCACTATATGTGTGTGTGTGTACACACACACATATATTAGATCATCCATTCATGCACAAATGTGAAATCACAATTGGGCATTGAATTAGTATTTATTTAAAAGAATTAAAAAAAATTAATTCAAATTTGATTCAACAAGTAGTAGAAATAAATTACCTCCAATGTCAAGAGCAAGATTTGAAACTTCATCAACAGATTTTCTCAATTCCTTCTCCCCCAAATTCTTTTCAAATCCATCCCTCTCCATCTTTTCCTCCTCTTTTCTTCTCCTCCCAATCTTGTAATTTACGCTCAATCAATTTCGCCTCTCCATATCTATATATACAAGTCTCTATCTATATTTTTATACATAGATTCGTCAAAAGAGGCTGCTGACTTAGGTCAGAAAACCAAAAAAAAATTAAATTCCACCAGACGAAGAATTCAAAGCGTGATAAAATGGCGTCTTTATCCTCAATATTCAATTACTTATCAATCGCTTTCCACATTATAATATTTAGGACAAGGGCTATGGTTGTTTATGTGTCATCTTTGGGAATGGGTTGTATGGAAAAAATTACACACTATTGGATCTAACCTATAGGCTTGTAGTAAGTTGATCTCGAACCTAAAATCAAACACATTAATTTCAATCTTTTATTATTTAGAAGAAAATTGTAAGAATATTTATTATAATATCTTAGGGCGGACATTTTTATTTAGAACCGTCCGACAAAAATGGACTAAATTAGCCTATTCGAATCAATTTTAGTTAAACTTTGGTTTGGTATTTAAGTCTTGGAATGCAAAAAAGCTGAAAGTTTCTTGGTCGATTGATTTCCTTTTTGATCTCATTTGAATTCTGATCGAAGAAAGAAATATTAGGAGGCTATATTTTAGTTCCATATTTATTTTTTATAATATTTCAATTAAATCATAATTTATATGAATTTTATATTAATTAACATTTACTGAAAAAAAGGAACATTCTGATGGAATAATTGTTGAATAATTATGAGGTTGTGGAGACTAATTTGGTGTTGAAACAATACATTAAGGACTACAATGCAATTTTCCTACCTGTATTATACATAAGAGTAGGTCAGACAGTGTGGGCTGATTACATCCTATAACTACCCTTCAGCGATTTCAACGGTTATAATTAATTAGGATAAATAGCAGTATATTTCACCAATCTTTCAAGTTATTTTCAATTTCATCCCCAACTGTTTTGGAACAATTGTGTTACCAACTTTTGGAAGGTTAAAGACATCCATCCAAATTGACGTTTGATTGTTTTCATCCATTTTCCATTAATTAATCGATTTGACAAGTTATTATTAACTAAAAAATTTCGAAAAGATTAATACTATTCTTAATCGTTCATAGCGTTCTACGTGACATACTGTCACATGCACATGACATGTGATTATTTGATGCATTAATGTGATAATTTTTTATTGATTCATGCATCAAATAATCACTTGCTATGTGTATGTCACGTAAGGCGACTACTACAGTGAGCAACTAAGAATATCAATATTCATTAGAAAAAAAGGAATTCATAATATCATAAAAAAAAAAAAAGGAATAGAATTAAGCCCTCGTTTGGCCCTCATTTTATGGAAATGAAAATAGGTGGAATAGTATTTTTTTTTTTAAAATAAGTGATTGAAAAAGAATGAAAAATTCTTGATTTACGTGTAATATTATTTTATGAAAGATTGTGTGATTAAAAATATGAGAGAAGAAAATGAAATGTAATGGAATGAAAATTAATGGGAGTCAAACGTTTGATTGTTTTCATCCATTTTCCATATATATATATATATATGTGCCTCTGCAATAAATGGCAATGAATCAACAGCGAATCATGGGGCAAACATGGGGGATTCTTCTTCTCAAACTCGATAAAAAAATGCCATACTCAGCTTTTTTGGAAAATAGATACAAATTAAAGGTGCATTTGGGAAATACATTATAGCAGCCTTTTTGTTGAATATATTATTATAAATAATTAAAAAATTTCCCTAGTACAAAATTTGTGCTTCTTAAAATTTTCCCCTTGCATACCGAGGACACCAAATTTAAAAAAAAAAAAAAAAAAAAAAAAAAAAAAAAAAAAAAAAACAAATTTTAAAAATTTTAAAATAAGGTTTTTTGGAACTAATAAAATTGAAAAAGTAAATTAAAGTGGAAAAACAATAAGTGCATTTGTGGCGATTAAATTGGGTTATTAAGATAAAGAGAAATGGAGTGGTCCATAGAAAAAAAAAAAAAAAAAGATTAGAGATGAATTTGCAAATCAGATGAAAGGTTAAGTAAGTTTGTTTCTATTTATTCAATTAATTAAGAGAATATTAAAAGACAAATATATTATAATTTAGTTTCTTTAATAAAAAGATTAATGTGCTGGTGCCAATTAATGGATGTTGAAATAAATATTCTAATTTTGGATCGTTTTGAGAGTAAAATATTATGATCCAACTAACTACATGATTGGCTTAGCTTAAAAAAGCTTATAGTTAATTTTATATTAAACTTTTAATTCAAAGGACAATATTTGTAACATATAGCTTTGTCAAATAATCTAAACCCTTAAATTTAAAATAATCTAACATTTGCCATCAATTATGAGTCTGTTTGTCTTCCATTATAGGAAAAGTTATAGAGTTTTGAATAGTATTTTTTGGAGAATGTGTGATTAAAATTTAAAGAAATTTTATTGATTTGTGTATAGAATATTTTATTGTGTGAATGTGTAATGGATAATGTTATTGTGACAAATAATTTAATTTGCTCAAAGATGACAAGCATGGGTTATACTAAAACCCATAAAAATATATATCATCACTTTTAAAAATGCATTAATTACTTTTTAAATCACAAATTACCATATAAGTATTAGTTTTTTCCCATTAAAAAAAACGAAAACACAATTTTTTCTTCTTTCCCAGTGACGTGTGCATCCAAGAAAAATATGCAAATACAAATTGATACATTCCTGAAAAACTTAATGAATTGCCAATTTCATTTAAATCTAAGATCCTCTTTTTGCTACGATAATAAGAAACTACGTCTTGTTCGGATGATTCGAATTCTTTATTACTGTAGTTGGTGCCATCGGTCTCTTTCCTTCTAGCATTTAGAGCCATCAATATTTTTCGATTAACAAATGTGTCATTTTTTATTGAGATAGTCTTGCTATTTAAGAAGAATTCTTTTAATTATGAAATATTTTTGACACAAGTATTGCCTAAATGACTCACCTGGCTTTTCTGGATCACAACCAAAGAAATGCCCTTTGCTTTTCCGAGAATGAGAATTGAACTTCATACAAATGCTACACTACAGCCACTAATTTTGCAGACATTTCATCCATAATGGAATTAATGTATCAATCATTTTATGCTTGCTGACCAAAAGCAGGTTCTTGAAATTGGCAATCCATTTAAGATTTTCAAGAATGTATCAATTTGTATCAGTATATTTTTCTTGGATGCACAAGCCAGTGGGAAAAAATGGAATAAGAAAAGAATTGTGATTTCTTTTTCTACACTTACTTTTTTCCATTTTTTTTTTTATGTGGGGTGGTGGGGGGGGGTGGAGGAAGTTTCTCATATGGCAATTTGGCAATTTGTGATTTAAAAAAGTAAATTATATTCACACTACAATTTTTATTTCTTGCATTACATTTCAATTGCACTTAAGGTGCAAATTATTTACTCGTTATAACACTTTATCCTAACCATTTTTTATGTCATTCTTATCCTCAAACTTTTCATTAATTAGCATATGAGGAAGTTTCTTATATGGCAATTTGGCAATTTGTGATTTAAAAAAGTAAATTATATTCACACTACAATTTTTATTTCTTGCATTACATTTTAATTGCACTTAAGGTGCAAATTATTTACTCGTTAGAACACTTTATCCTAACCATTTTTCATGTCATTCTTATCCTCAAACTTTTCATTAATTAGCATATTTCGTATTTAATAACACTTTTATATCCAAAGGTTCGCCGAAATGTCGTAAAACAACTTATTTTCTCATCATGTTTTTTTAAAATAAATAAATTAAAATTGCAAAGACATATTTTTCCCTTTTCAAAGTATGAAAAACAAAATATTTTGTTATAAATCATCATCAAGTATGAGATGTGTTGACATCCAAACTCCGATCTAGTATAAACAGTTCGCTAACTCCACCTCAGTTAAACGTAAGTTCGGCCCATACCCCCAGGTCGGAGTTACCCGCCGTTATCTTAGAAAAATATCATGATTACCCCTTGTCATATCACCCTATCAATCAGATACACTTGTCATAGGTGACGTCATCGCCGCCTGGAACAACCAATTCCAAGTCCTCGAACTCTAGCCTCTTACAGGTCATCATTACCTGGGTAATACATTAACACATGACCACCGGCCTCATCGACCAGTCACAGGAGAATTTGGCGACCCGAGTTTCAAGCTTGACACTATTGCTGATTTAACTGATTTGATGTAATTTCGGCTGAAACTATGTATAAATAGTTGAATAGGACTCTTGTAAAAAGAGAGCAAATTCATATAACGGTTTATGGCACAATCACACTAAAATGACATCTTTATGGTCTTTTTTAAGCATAAATCGCCTTTTTTTTCTTAAAATTGGTTGAAAATTATCCTTGCTAATTTTGACGTCAACAGTTTGGCACTAGAAGAAGGGCCCCTAATTGTGAAAAATAGTTTCATTCGCTCCACAAAAATTTCAAGAGCCATGAGTCATAGCTCAAGTTCCAGAAATCAATCTCATACCCACCCTCATGAAACGAATATACCATTGAGTTCTCCACAACGACAGGACCCTCAAATGATCGCGATGAGGGAAGCCCTGGAAAAATTGACAAATACAGTGGGACGACTGGAAAGGAGCCAAGCCCATTCATCCCCACCAGATACCGAGGTGGAATCCCCTGTAAGGACAAAGGCAAAGCGTCCCCCCACCAGGAGGACTCTCCACTTTTCAAGAGGAGAATCATCAAGAAGCCAAACCGATGAGGCCAAAAGCAAGGAACCCAAGGCGAGAAGGACTGCAAGTGTGTTCGATAGATTGGGGACCCATCACTCGCTAACTCCCACACAAGGACAAACCGACCTGAAACGTCCTTTGGAACAATCAGAACCCAAACTAAGCGCGCTTAAAAAACGCATCGCCAAACTGGAGGCTAAAAACAAAGGTGACACTGAAGGTTACCAAACCAAACGACATTCCCCCTTCACTGAGGATGTCCTTATGGAACCACTACCTAAAAAATTGAAAATTCCCCAGATCGTCGCATACGAAGGGGATAGTGATCCCCTCGGCCACCTTGACAAATACACCTCGTGGATGGAACTACAGGGGGCAAGCAACTCAATCATATGACGGGCATTTTCCCTGACTCTAGGAGACAAAGCCCAAAGATGGTTTAGGAGACTACACGAAAGGTCGGTAAAGGATTGGAATGATCTGGCCACGGCATTCTTGGCCCAGTTTATGGGCT